ATTTTTTTGTGTGTGTGCATCCTAAGAGTAGACATGGTCTCAGTTCCAATAAAAGATGATTATGTGTTCCTCAAATGTTTGAGTTTCTTTATGATTACAAAGAGTTTCTTTTCTGCATCCTGTTTAAGAGCTGACGTAGTATCAGTTTCCCACACATCAGTAGAATGTTTCCTTTAAACTTTTGAGTTCGATTTTTGTGTACAAAGAGTTTCTTTCATGCATCCTCTTCAAGAGTAGATGTAGTTTCAGTTCGACAAATATAAGGCTGGTGTGTGTTCCTAAAAGGTTTGAGTTTGATTTATGAGTACAGAGAGTTTCTTCTTTGCATCCTCTTAAAGAGTAGACTTGGTTTCAGCTCCGCATATACAAGGCGAGAATGTGTTCCTAAAACTTTTGAGTTTGATTATAATTACAAAGAGTTTCTTTTGTCCCTCCTCTTTAAGAGTAGACATGGTTTCAGTTGCACAAATAGAAGGGTGTTATGTGTCCTAAGATGTTTGAGTTTGATTTATGAGTACATAGAGTTTCTACTTTGTATCCTCTTTAAGAGTAGATGCGGTTTCAGTTGCACAGATATAAGGCTGGTGTAAGGTCTAAAAATGTTTGAGTTTGATTTATGAGTATAAACAGTTTCTTCTTTGCATCCTCTTTAAAAGTAGATGTGTTTTCAATTGCACAAATATAGGGCAAGTATCTGTTCCTAAAACTTTTGAGTTTGATTTCTGAGTACAAAGAGATTTTTTGTTTGTTTTTTTGCATCCTCTTCAAGAGTAGACACAGTTTCAGTTCAAAAATATGAGACGAGTATGCAGTCCTAAAACGTTTGAGTTTCATTTATGATTACAAAGAGTTTCTTTTGTGCATCCTCTTTAGAAGATACAGTTTCAGTTCCACAAATTTAAGTCACATATGTGTTCCTAAAATGTTTAACTATGTTTATGAGTACAAAGCATTCCTTTTATGCATCCTCTTTAAGAGTAGACACAGTATCAATTCCAAAAATATGAAGCGAGTATGCGGTCCTAAACTGTTTGAGTTTCATTTATGCTTACAAAGACTTTCTTTTGTGCATCCTCTTCAAAAGTAGACATGGTTTCAGTCCACAAATACAAGTTAAATATGTTTCATTAGAACTTTTGAGTTTCATTTATGAGTACAAACAGCTTCTTTTGTGCATCCTCTTTAAAAGTAGCCATGGTTTCAGTTGCACAACTATAAGGCTGGTATGTATTCCTAAAATCTTTGAATTTGATTTATGAATACAAGGAGTTTCTTCTTTGCATCCTCTTTATGAGTAGATGTGTTTTCAGTTCCACAAATATAAGTCAAATATGTGTTCCTAAAGTGTTGAGTTTAATTTGTGGGTTCAAAGATTTTCTTTTCTGCATCCTTGTTCAAAGTAGACATGGTTCAGTTCCACAAATATAAGTGGAATATTTTTTCTTAAAACATTTAAGTTTGATTTATGAGTACAATGAATTTTTTTTAATGTATAATTTTTAAGAGTAGACATGGTTTCAGCTCCACAAATATGTCGAAGATGTTTTTCTAAAACGTTGCAGTTTCGTTTATGAGTACAAAGAATTTCTTTTATGTATAATCTTTAAGAGTAGACTCTTTCAGTTCCACAAATATAAGTCAAGTATTTGTTCCTGCAGCATTTGAGTTTCTTTTATGAGTTCGAAGAGTTTCTTTGGTGCACCCTCTTTAACAGTAGACATGATTGGGGCCGCTAGGTGGCACAGTGGGGCAGCTAGATGGCGAAGCGGATAGAACTCCAGCCTTGGAGTCAGGGGAACCTAAGTTCAAATCTGGCCTCAGACACATGACACTTACTAGGTGCGTGACCCCGGCCAAGTCACTTAACCCTGACTGGCTCAACAAAAAGGAATAAAAAAAAAAAGGTTTCAGTTCCACAAATATACAAGTATGCGTTCCCAAAATATTTGAGATTCAGTTATGAATACAAAAGGTTTCTTTTGTGCATCCTCTTTAAGAGTAGAGACAGTTTCAGTTCACAAATGTAAACATAAAAAATACTAGACTTAATTAGTAATGACTTAGCTTTGTGAAAGTTATCTTACTTCTCTTTACCTCAGTTTTCTCAAGTATAAAATGAAGACACTGTATTGGAAACTTTCCATGGTTTCTTCTTCCTTAAAAACCTTTTTATATCTGAATTTATTTACAACATCAGGATTTGTTCACGTCACTGCAATTATTACATGTATCTGCTTATCTTCTCTCTGGAAACCATACTTTCTCATGCACCTTCCTCTGCAAACAGGGGATAGTACTGCAAATGGTTGTCTCCATGCCCATGAAAGGCAATAACGAAAAGTAAAGCTTTGATTTGCTCCACTATGATTAAATTATTTGGAATCAGCACCTAGGTAATTAACTGTACAAAGTTGACTTTCTATCCTGGAAATAAGTTCTGTCCTTTCTGAGGTTTTTCAAATAAAGGAAAGTGAAAGATTTATAAGGGAATGAAATTTCTTCATGGACCTTTTAAATCACAAGAATTTTATTTTCTCTCCACCAAAAATTTCTTGACAGTAAAATGCATGTTAATTGCATTGAAAATAGAAGTAGAGAATGAGTTTTTCCCTCTCTCTGGCCAAGAGGAGGAAATTCAATTGAGATAAACCTAGAGCAGTTAACTCAGCAACTCAGGGCGTCCATTGAAAGCCAAAATACAGGGCCACGATGTAAGGCCTGGACTGTAGGGAAGCAAAAGAGCTGTATCAAATGCCTCGAATGGATAGCCAAGGAAGACACTATAGACTGAAAAGAAAGGAAAATGAACACTTTCATGCTCAATCACAACCTAATGACACACCAAGATAAGCTATTTGTGTGGGCATCCTACAATACCCAGTAGCAATCTGAGTGTCAATATGTTTGCAGTTCTCTAGGCAAAATCCATGGGACTCAAAGTCCCTTCCTTATTATGTATCATTTAGACTAAGAGTAAAAACTGAGCCCAATCTCATTTTATTTAAAATGAGCTAGGTGGGCAGCTAGGTGGCTCAGTGGAAAGAAACTGGAAAGGTCCTCCTGAAGTCAGGAGGACCTGAGTTCATATCTGGCCTCAGACCAAACACTTGACACTTACTAGCTGTGTGACCCTGGGCAAGTCACTTAATCCCAATTGCCTAAAAAAACCCAAAAAAACCCAAACAAACCCCAAAATGTTCTTGGATCACTGGAATTCATTCTCACAAATGAGACTTCAGGGGAAACTTGGTTCTCATTTAGGTAACAGGCATAAATCACAGAATTAGAGATGAGTTAAACAAGGAGGAACTTCAGAAATCATTCCGGCTGAACCACGTTGTTCTTCAAACTCATAGCCTATCTATGGTGGTATCTTCTTAGGCTTAATTCAAAAAGCATGTTTTGGATGTCTATTATGTCTAAGGCCCTCTTTAGGATTCTCCCTCATTAGACTATGAGCTCCTTAAAAGCAGAGACTGTGTTTATTTGTTTTGCCACTTTTTTTGGCATCCCCAGAACTTAGCGTCTGGTACGTTATAGGTGCTTAATAAGGCCTTTAAAATGCATATTATTTTTAATATATGAAGAACAGAGAATGTTTGTTGTCTTGTTAACTAAGATCATGAAGATGAAAATCATCATATTTCCTGCATTCATTAGTTTGACTGTGTAGCATGGGATTGGCATGTATACACAATAAATGTAATGCAACTTAAGAATAATTTAGTGCATAGGAATGGCCTGAAAGGTTTAAAGAATTAAATATCATTTCTTGGCTTTAGGGTAAGAAAAGACAACAAGAAAAATGTTGATCTTGAATTAGACCTTGATCAAAGAGGAATATTTCAATAAAAATAGGAAATGGAGGTGTATTTTAGGCAAGTACTAATGCATGAAGGAGATGGCAGCAGGAGATCAGCAAGTACTTGAACTAAAGTGCAATACTGAATATGTGAAGGGAAAAATTTTTTACTCTATTTACTGGCTGTGGAACTTTGAACAAATTACTTACTATTTCTGAGCCTTTCTTTTTCTCTTTGTAAAATATAGATTAAAAATACTGACTAGAGCAATATTCTGCTTAAAGAGATGTCGAGAAAATAGAATTAGCAAGACTTCTAAAATGATTGGCTATGGTGGCCAAAGGGAGTGGGAGGAAAGAATCAAATATGATTTGATTTTATGAAACTGAGTGACTAGAAATTTTTTCAAAAGAAATGAGGATTTTTTAGGAGAGGAAGGATTGGGATTACGGGTTTAAATCATCAATAGAACTTGAATGCCAATTACCCCAAAGCACACATTTTACTGATGAAGAGAAGAAGGCCTAGGGAGGTTAAGTCACTTGTCTAAGGTAACACAGACAGTAAACAGCCATTGCTAGGATATGAACTGAAGCTGTCTAACTCTAAATCCAGAGATTTATCCCCTAGGTTGTGCCTAGGTTGCACAATGGAAAGAATGACAATCCTAAAGACAGTCAGGAAAACTCATCTTTGTGAGTTCAAATCTGGCCTCAGACACTTACTAGCTGTGTGACCCTGCACCAGTCACTTAACCCTGTTTGCCTCAGTTTCCTCATGTGTAAAATGAGTTGAAGGATATGGTGAATCACTCCAGTATTTTTGCTAAGAAAACACAAAATGGGGTCATGAAGAGTCACACATGACTGAAAGACTGGACAACAACAAAATCACTGCCTCCCATTTAGGAAGAAACAGAAAGAATTCTATTTAGGAGATATTGATTTGGGGATGCTTAAGGTACATCCAAGAGAATCCATCTCCTTGTCACCTCAGTGTCTTGTGACCTCTTTCATCAGCAAGAAACCAGGTGTCTCAATTCCTTTAATCCTGTTTTTTACTCCCTCCAAACTGTGTGGAAACCAAGAGTTCTAGGTCCTTGGCTTTTGACCCAGTTTATTTCTGCACCCACATGCATTGCTAAATAAATCTTTGTCTGGACATAACTACCTAATTTTCTTTATCCCATCATAACAGTTATGGTGACCAATGAAGGGACTGAAGCTGTGAGTCTCTGTGTGATGACCAGATCTTTACTGAAGGAACACCATAGGATTTCTTTTAAGGGACTGCCTTGGTGAAGGACTTCCCATTTCTAGAACTCCATGTCCTCCCAAACCACATCCAGATGGCAAGAGGTAAGTGGTCCCTGATGAGGAAGCCTTAGGGGTTTGGCTCTATTAAGCTGATGGACACTCCCTTAGGGAAGTTCTAATTGGCCTGAGATGAGGGGAAACTTCTCATTCAGAAGGGGATGATTAAGAATACAGCTCTCAAATTAAGCAAAGATTGGTTTAAGATACATAAGAATCTCAATGGGTCCCACACTTTGCCTGATAAAGGAACTTTGGCATGATTAGCCAAAGGAAAAAAAATACTGTATTTTTCTGAGAAACTTTCAAAGTCTTCTGAAACACTCTCTCTCTGCATTTTTAACTGGCAAAATTGGGGAGGTAGATGAAAACACAGATGAGGAGGAAAAGAATCTTTGTTCCCAGTCTGCAGGATTTTATGGCATAGTAAACTGATTGGGGACTAAATTTGTTTTCTCTACTGTGAATATCCAAATTATGGTTTGAATGTTTCTATAAATACTGAAACATTTTAGTGAGTTTTGGGGTATCATTCTGTAGAATTTGTTTTAAGGAAAAATAAGAATAAAGCTGTGAAAGTTACATGAAAAATAGTGCTTAGACCTTTCTTTTATCACTCTTCCCTCGAGTGTGACAGATTTATTGTTTTAGTGACAGGAAGAAAGGTGATTTCAGTGATTAGAGAAGGGAACTAAAGCAAGTTTGAACGTAATATCAGTGAAGTTGCAAAGTTAAAAAAAGGTTTGCATTTTGTAGTTTAAATTTAAGAACTGTCTATTATTAACTCTTTCTTGACCCTGAAAAGAGAGAGGCAATAAGGGAACAGATTAAAAGTAAGTAAAATTTAACTTGGAAGAATGTTTTGTGTTATCACTGTATTTTCTTGTGTGACTGACATAATGGAACTCAATTATTTAGGTGCTTAATAGCTATTGTCCTTTCTTCTCAAAGAGAACCAAAATGACATTACTTTTTTGGGGTCAAGGCACAGGGTGTCCATCTTTGGCTGATCAGATCAATATGAGCTCAAAGGCTCTACCACAGTTCAGATTCAAATAGTACATATGAACATTTGAAGTCTCTAAATTTGTGTATGTCATGTTTCTTTTGAGCTACTGCATTTCTACTTTTCTCAAAGAGCATGGCACCTTCTTTGACACAGCCAGGCCATGCTAGATGGTCTGTGCCACATCTCACAATCGATACCAAATTCTTCAGAGAAACTTAAAGAGTGTCCTTGTATTGCTCCTTCTAACTTCCATGTGAGCACTTGTCTTTGTGAGTTCTCCCTAAAATAGTATCTTAGGCAAATGAATGGTTGACATTTGAACAATGTGGCCACCCCATCTGAGTTGTGCTCTCTGCAGTAGTTTGAATGCTTAGTAGTTCAGCACAAGAAAGGACCTCAGTGTCTAGAACCTTATCTTGCTAGATGATCTTCAGAATCTTTCTAAAACAATTCAAATGGAAGCAATTCAGTTTCCTGACATGGTGCTGGTATACTGTCTAGGTTTCACAGGCATACAATAATGAAGTTAGCACAACATCTCTGTAGACCTGCAGTCTAGTAGCCAGTCTAATAACTCTTCCACACTTTCCTTTGGAGTTTCCCAAACACTGAGCTAGCTCTGACAATGCATGTGTCAACCTCATCATCTATGTGGACATCCCTGGAAAGTATACTGCCAAGGTAAGTGAACTCATCCACAGTATTCAAAATTTCTCCATTTGTTGTAAATGATGGTTCCATGTACAGATGGTGTGATGCTGGCTAGTGGAGAACCTCTGTTTTCTTGGTGTTAATTGTTAGGCCAAAATTAGCACAAGCATCAGAGAATCAATCGATTTGATACTTTGTTGCATCTCAGCTTCAGAGGCTGATTAGAAATCTTGACTTAGAAATCATCTTCAAACAAAAAGGCATGCACCAACTCTCCCTCCACTTTTGTATTGGCTTGTAGCCTTTTCAAGTTAGATAATTTACTATCAGTGTGGTAGCTGACCTTGGTGTTGTTTCCAGCCTCATTGAAGGCAACATTGCTGAAAACCTCATGTTAACACGGAAGCAAGCACATAGCCCTGTTTCACTCTATTGGTGACTGGGAAAGCATGACAGCATCATCCATTACCAGAACCCTTGCAAGCATGCCATCATGGGACCGGCATACAGTGCTGATGAACTTCTCCAGACCACCAAATTTTGCCATGATCTTCTATAAGCCCTCATAACTGACAGTACCAAAGGCTTTGGTCAGATTGACAAATATTGTGTGTAGACCTCTGTTCTGCTCCAGGAATATCTCCTGAGTTGTTGGGCAGCAAACACCATATTGACTATTCCTTGGCCCTTTCTGAAGTCATATTGGCTCTCAGGTACATGGTCATCTTCCAGGTGAAAGAGGACTCTGGCAAGAATCTTGCCAGCAATAACTGAGAGAGACCCCCTGTGACTGTCACAACACAAATTATTTCCTTTTTCTTAACAGAGGACAATGGAGGCATCCTTGAACTCCTGGGGGATAACCTCCTCCTGCTATATATAACCTGGAAAATTTCAGTCAGCTTTTGTATGAGTGCTGGACCCCCTGTCTTGTGAATCTTGGCTAGAATAGAATCAGCACCAGACTCTTCCACATGAGAGGAGCCTGATGGCATTCAAAACCTCTTGTCATTTGGAAGTTTAGTTAGAGAGGGATTGATTTCAACTTTATGTACACGGTCAATGGCTTCAGCATTGATTGATGATGGTCTGTTGAGAACACTATGGAAAAGTTCATCCCACCTGTCCAGGATCATTCCTCATCACTAATTAATGTGGCTCCATCAGAACTGAGTAGGTGAGATGCACTGTAGGTCTTTGGCCCAAAAATAAGGGCATCATGGATTGTTTCTATCAGCATAAATATGAATTTCATCTGCCTTCTTACTGAGCCAAGAATCTTGCATCTCTCTAAGCTTTGCTTGCACTTTATTTTTGATGGAGTTAAACACTGCCTTCTCAGAGATGGATGAACTGTTCTGGTAAACCCTATTCTCATTTTTCATTTAGCAGTTTCTGAATTCCCCCATAATCTTCATCAAACCAGTGTTGATGTTTGTGAGTGATTTGGCCCACATGAGTAAATACAGAGCTGTACACCAAATCTCTGAAAGTTGCCTACTCCTTTTCTACTCCACTGTTGTCATTTGTGAGTCGGCCCAGCTTTCCCTCCAGGTTAGTAATGAACTTTCATGCTCAGAGAAATGCTCTAATCTGTAGATACTAAGTCTTCTGGCAGTTGTCTTGCTTTGTGGTAACTCCTTTTATCAAATATGAATGTTTATCTTGGAGAGGATGTCTGATAGGTCCAGCATTCTGCACCACACATTGCCTTCATCACTCTCACATCCTGTATCTTCTCCTTATAATGACACAGTCTATTAAATGCTAATGTTTGCTGCAAGGGTGCATACATGAAGTTTTAGTTTAGGTAAATGGAAGACAGTGTTGGTGATGAAGTCATGAGACACTTAAGTCTTCATTAGTAAGTGACCATTGCTGTTGCTGTTTCTGACTCCATTCCTCCCAAGGACTCCCTGCCATGTCTGATAGTCTGTGCCTACTGTCTCTCTGGCATTAAAGGCACTCAGAACTCTAAGCCTGTCCTCTTTTCAGTACACTGATGATGAGGATCTCCAGGTTTTCATAAAATTGTTCTTTGACCTCGTCAAGGTTCATCATGGTGGGAGCACACAGATGATAGTGGTATGCTTTCCTGCTAGTGGCAGTTGCAATATCGTTAGCCTGTCTCTCACTTCTTTTGGGAGGCATACAAGTTTGTTGATTAGATTGCTTTTGATTGCAAAAACCTATACCACGTTTACAGTACTCTCCATCACTGTGGTCACTCAAGAAAAATGTGTATTCACCTCCAACTTTGGTAAGCTGGCCTTCATTTGCCAGCCTTGTTTCACTCAGTGCTGTTTTTTTGTTTGTTTGTTTTTTTAATGAGCTAACTGAAAACCAGTGGGTCCTGAAATTTGAAATGTTAACAGTAAACGGCTTCTTGGGAAAAGTGAGGTTCCAAATATTACCATTTGAGATTGTAAACCCAAACTTGGTTTGCTTGGAGTTTTGCCCTGAAAATAAATTATGTGGTCTTATTTACAGAGAGATATGTTCTCCTATTAAGAAAATTGCAGTAAATCGTAACACAAAATACATTTTCAATTTAGCACTATGCTGAAATATGCATGGATCAAGTAAACTTGAATTAAAATTCAGTCTCAGAAATTTATTAACTATGTGATCTTAAATAAATTTTCATTTCTGTTCACCTCAGTTTCCTAATCTGTAAAGGGGATAAATAATAGTACCCATGTCCCAGGGTTGTTGTGAAGATCACATGATTGTAAAGTGCATAGTGCCTGGCACATGGAAGCACTACACAAATGTTAGTAAATGTAAATACTCTATATTGGTTTTGAATGCAATCACTATAGAATGCCGAAAGTAATAAAATGAGTTATTTTCTATGTAAGATATTTTGGAAACACATTTAACTGAATTGAAGTCACCTGACTGGTAATAAAAATTTTTGTTTCATATTTTAAATACATGGTATTGTGTATGTGATTATTGCATTTCTATAATTATTTCTTATATTGCAAAATTTAGGAAACCACTGTATCAGAAATGCTGTAAGAAAAGTAACTCCTCTTTTTATCTGGATGCTGTTAGATTACAAATTGAGTTGTTATATGAATGTGGTCAAAATGTTTGAAATCTGTTAAATATTTAATGAGTTATATCAACAGGAGTAAACCAGCCTCTAACCTGTGGGTGGCCAGAGCTAAACAGAGCAGCCTAGAAACAGGAGAGTCAGAAATCAAATGGAAGTTTAATTTCAAAGTGAGGGAAATGCTTACAAGCAAGAAGGGGATCTAGACACATGTGCTCAGGCCCCATCCCTCGTGGGGCGACCCAAGACCGTGAGGAGAGATCTCAATACTTATACCAATAGCTACACAGTGAGCTGTAGCCCTGACAATGAGGGCTAACAGCAACAATGACACATGTTTGATTCATAGCAGGGCTTCATGATCAGAAAACGGGTACCTCTCCAGTGCTTGTCCAAGCTCAGAGAACACCTGGTGTTGGTCAAAGCAATACAATAATTACGTAATTTTGCCAGATGGTGAGATCACCCAGAGAATGAGCACAAAGGACTGTTGTTACGCCAAGCTCAGAGCACAGCTTGCTTGCTGGGTCTTAGCTCTGGAAAACAGGGTGTCTCCTAATATCTTGACATGTATATTTGCTTTAAAGTGGATTATAATAAAATAGCACAGACCCCTTTAAGTTATCTTCATCTGGGAGGTTCTTTGGGTCTTTCTACTTGGGTGAAGTCATAAGATCTTATCAGCTCTGCTGATAAGACAGGCTGCCCTACGATAAAATCCTGAAGTACTGAAGTTTGAGAAACGAGTCAAAGTGGGGAAATTTATAAGTTTGCTTATTGTAAAGAGTGAGTTTCATCTGAGATTATTTGACCATCACTTATGTAAAATTATGAAATTGTGCCTGTCAATAAGAGGCTGCTAGAGGGGTCAGTGGATAGAGCATTCATTCTGGAGTCAGGAAGACCTGAATTCAAATCTGGCCTCAGACAGATACTTATTAGCTATATGACCCTGGGCAACTCACTTAACCCTTATTTTCCTTAATCCACAGGAAAAGGAAAGAGCAAACTACTCTGGCACCTTTGCTGAGAAAATACCATGGATACTATGGTCAATGAAAAATTGGACACAACTGAATAATAACCTCTTAATAGTCTATATTGAAGTTCACATCTTTGAGCCAACTTAGTAACACTATATCTTATGTTCAAAGACATCAATCTTACCTTCAGAGTGAATAGGTAATGCAGATTGGAGGTTTACTATAATCAGCATTTTTCTGGGGGCTTTGAGTCAATTACCACTGATTCACTGCATATATGAACTTCAGAATGTGATTATTCTTTTTTGTGTTTGTTTCTTTTTGCTAGGCAATTAGGGTTAAGAGACTTGCCCAGGATTACACAGCTAGTAAGTGTCAAGGGTTTGAAGTCAGATTTGAACTCAGGTCCTCCTAACTGCAGGGCCATTGCTCTACCCATTGTGCCACCTAACTGTCCCAGTGATTACTCTTAAATTATAAATGAAAGACAAATAAGATGTCCTTATATGTGTTCATTATTAAATAAATATATATTGTAACACGAGAAAAATAACAATATATTAGCCTAAGCTATGATCAGTGAAATTTTGCAATGTGAGGTAAAATCTCATGGAACTGTAATTGATATTACTCTAAGTTTTCATTTTAGGATTCTCTGTAATGTTAGCAAGCCACCATTCTAGGAAATACCACGTGCTGCCCAAAGGGAGTGTAGTGTAAGAATGTCTACAGGTAGATATCTGTGCCTGTGAAAAGCTGAGGAGATGACCTTGATCTTGTGTAGAAAAGGTAGGATCCTCTTGACTCAGTTTTCCATTATGCTATTTCCTTTCCAAAGAGGAAATTTTCCCACCTGGTTAATTCTGAGCCTGGCTTTTGATACCCTGTGAATAAACGTGGACCTTTGACACATATTGATTATCAGAGATGCCTGGATTCCCACGCCTGGAATTACGCTGAGCTAAGAAAGTTTTTCCCCTCTTATGGCTTATGTCAGGTCAGTCTGTGCTTTTGAGGGTACATTCTTGATTTTTTAATAAACATGTCCCTCTTATGGCAAGTGAAAGATGAGATAACTGAGGAAACAAAGGTTTGATTTTCTGAGCATACTGGTTTATTAAGCAATGCATGACAATTGCCCAAACAAACCAGGATCAGACCTCCTCGGCTTGGGACTGGACCCCAAATACCAGGGGAAGACAGACTTTTATATGTGAAAAACAATTAACTGAAGGGCAGCTAGGTGGTGCAGTGGATAGAGCACCAGCTTTGGATTCAGGAGAACCTGAGTTCAAATCCAGCCTCAGACCTGGGCAAGTCACTTAACCCCACTGCCTAACAAACAAAACAAAACAAAACAAAAAAAACCAACACAATCAAATAAGACCGATCAAATAAAAGGAAATAATACTTTAGGTAATCTCATTTCCAGCTGAATAAAGATTAAGGACTTTCCAAGTTGGGATGGAGACAGCAAACAGATGCAATTCCTTGAATTCAGAAAATGTGTTCCAGGTGTCTGTAAACAATCAAAGGAATATGGTAACAGTATCTGATTAAGGCCAGTTTTCAGATAAGACATACGGGTTGCATGATATGTACAATTCTGAGAGAACCCCTTGCATCAGTCTTTGGATCTAACTGGGTTTATGGTCAGCATAACCCGAGTCTTTAGGTAAGGGTCTCTCAACGGCAGGTAGAGGTGGTCCGGTTTCCCAGCCACCCAAGACTAGTTTCAAGCAATGCAAAAAGGTTTCTCCTAATTCCCACCACTGAATAAAGTTTTCTCACAAGACAGAATTCGGACCAGACCCATAATTAATAGAAACGGAACTGAGCTAGCTCCAGAATTGAGTCACGAGATGGATTTGGTGTGGTTCACTCAATCCCCACAATTAACCACTTGTTGTCCTAATCCCCTTAATTCCCTCAATTTCCCCATTCCTTTTCCTTTCATAGCAAATTTCTATAATTAATAGTGGAAGTTTTGTTGTTGCAATAAAAAAATCTATTAATTGATACTAAAATATCTCTGACTTGTTATAATAGGATGCAAGTGTGAAAAAATCTCACTATTTTCAATCTGAATTTGTAGTCAATTCTATCCTAAGCAACAAAGCAAACGGGATCTTGGGCCTGCTATCTATCCATTTGCTATAGTAGTTACATATTCATGTATAAGATTAGGTCCTTGACATATCTTGTTCTTTCAAGGTGATATGGGAATAATATCTTCAAAAGGGGGGAGTGAGACAAAGATATAAAAGTTTTCCTAATTAAATGGAATAGCAAATTTTGAGATAGTAACGGAACTAGGAGACATTGTTTCAAATGTCTGTAATAGGATATATAGGCCTTGAGTTCGTTTTAGTGACAGCTTCTCATATTTGGTTTAAGGATTTTATATATAAAACTACATTAACAATTGTAAATAAATTTTAAGTCATTTCCCCCCCTTTTTTGAAGTGTCTGTCTAATAATTTTAAGAGACAGAACAGGTCATTTCTCAAGAATGGCTGTTTTGCATTTTCTTTTGCTTTTTTTGGTGAGGCAATCAGGATTCAGTGACTTGCCCAGGGTCACACAGCTAGTAAGTACCAAATGTCTGAGGCCAGATTTGAACTTAGGTCCTCCTGACTCCAGGGCTGGAGCTCTTTCTACTGCACCACTTAGCTGCCCTGAAATTTTTTTCTTTTTAAGATTCTTCCTTCAGCCTGCTGATGGCAGATATCAGATACAGGGCTCATGTCAACATAGAAACAGTAAAGTAATATGTAACAACTGATATTCTCTGAAGTTTCTGGTGAATTATGGATTCATAATTTGATATTCTTCTTATAGCTTTGTTGTTAATAGGATCAAAACCATAAGGCTTGAACTGGTTTTCACCACATGAACTAGTTCATGGAAAAACAAACTTAGGAAGCTGTACAAAACTGTATTGAGTATTGTTACTGGCAGATTTTAGCAGAATTACCTAGGAAATCTTTGTAGGTGACTTGGAACCGCAGAAGCAGATTTACTAAGAAGAGCCCCCGTTAGAACTGCTCTGAGACTGGGATTTATCTCAGAATTTCCAAGGGAAGATTTTCCACATAGGACATCTGGGACTCGAGATGAAACATACCTATTAAATGGACTTTGGGAGTGGGTTTCCAGGTTACAAGGAAACTTGATGTTACTTAATGTTGGTAATCATTATTGTATTGCTTTGGCCTTTTTGTTTCAGTGTTCATGTTTGTTGAGTTTTCTTGGCTACCTTGGTGACATGTAAATCTCCTCTCTCAGATTAGTCCATGGTGAGCCCTCTAAGTTGTTTATCTGTAGCCTGAACTTACTTTACTTAGAACTTAAGAGTCTAGTTAACAACATTTGTCTCCTTAGGGCATATGTAAGATTATGACTCTATTTGTACCTTCCCCCCCCCAACCCTTTGATGCCCATTAAGGGAGACTATCATTTCATCCAAAAATCCCTAATAGATAAGGCATTAAAATAAGTGATCCTGGGGGCCAAGAATCCCAGGATCAAAGTGGGGAATATAGGGGCAGCTAGGTGGCGCCGTGGATAGAGCACTGGCCCTGGAGTCAGGAGGACCTGAGTTCAAATCCCACCTCAGACACTTGACACTCACTAGCTGTGTGACCCTGGGCAAGTCACTTAACCCCAACTGCCTTGCCAAAAAACAAAACAAAAACAAAAGAACAAAGTGTGGAATGTCGCATTAAAAAATAGCATTAGTGACTCCATTTTGACTTTATTTACCATTTTGTTAGGCTTATTTTCAGCAGCTTGCAAATTACCTGATTTTGGAGAAGTCACAAGATTACTCTACCTCCCAATAGTCATCCAACTTAAAGAATGTCACCAAACTACCCCCTCTCCCTCTCACCTCAGTGTCTCCTGATCCCCTCCACCAAGGAACCAAGTGTCTTAACCCCTTTAATTCCTGTTTTCCACTCCCTCCAAACTGTATATTAACTATTTAGAAACCAAGGTTCTGGGTCTTTGGTACAGAGACCCTTGGATGCAACCACATGTATTGCTAAGTAAACTGTCATCTGCATGTAACTACTAGGTTTTCTTTATTCTATCATAACAGGCTTCAATGCCAAGCTCAAGAGTTTGCATTTTACCCTACAGGCAAGAGAGAGCCAAATTTATGTTTAAAAGCCAGGAGGCAACACATTCAGGCCTGTGCAATTACCATAAAAGCTCTGAGAATGATAAATTGTAGAGTGGACAATGATTAAACATAATACATGTTCTAATTTAACTTAGGTCAACCTAAACAACATTTTTATTTGACATGACATCTACAGCTGTATTTGAAACTCTAATTATTGTTCATTCACTGCTTCAATTAGTTAAAAAAAAATGAGCCCATAAGAAAAAGACAAAATCTACATTTCCCTTCTTACCAAGGTTAAAGTAGAATTTTTAAAAAAAATCTTGTAGCAAAAAGTCTCCAAGGTCATCCCCTGCGGGTTTCTTTAATCTATTTATGATTGATTTCTTTCCTATTTTCAGAACGTTAAATGATAACTCCAGTAATACATTTATGTTAATTATGTGTCTAACTTTCCTTTCAGACACTAGATCCCAGTGTACACACACTAATGTTTCTTACCTATAATGAACCAGTCCCTTATGGCTCTAAATATAATACGCTTGAAAATCTTAGTAACAGTATACATATACATATATATACATATGGATTACTGAAGAGATTATGAGAAACTCATTCATTTATCTTAACAATTGTGTATGTTTACATACACATGCTTCATTATTATGTTACACTTAGGGTCAGCAGAATTGTGTTAGGGATCGCCTTCGAATAGGGTCCAAGATACCCCCATCCAAATACTGCCTGAAATTTTGACTGGTAAAAAATTTGGAGAAACCCAATATTTCCATTTTTTTTAAACCTTGTCTATGTATCACTGCTTCTCTATACAATAGTGTATTCACTTATTAATACTTCTTATTAACTCCAAGATAATTTTCATTCCCCATTATCAAAAAATTACCATCTTAGGGAGATTCCAATTTGTAGTACAGTTGGAAGAACTTTAATGGACACCTACTCCAAACTACACACAAAGCCATCTCCATTATGATATACCTTTTTTTTAGGCAATTGGGGTTAAGTGACTTGCCCAGGGTCACACAGTTAGTAAGTGTCAAGTGTTTGGT